CATTTTGCTCGGCGTTGAACTCGAGTTCTTTGTAATGGAGAGCTTTTGCGAATGCGTGACACTTGCCGGCGTACATACCGAGCGTACGGACATCGATCGGAAGAGCCTTGTCGTCATGCTCCATGAACTCAGCGAGGTTCAAAAGCACCTGGAGGATCTCAGGTGGAATGTGTGGCGAGGTCAGAGCAGTCTCTATCGAGCGGACCAGAGATTCTTGGTAGTGATCGTACAGTTCAGTCCAGCATGATACGAATGCAGAGTTGAAAAGCTGCCTTGCAAGAGGAGGGTAAGAACTGGCCAACTGCGAGCATGATCTCAATGCGTTCTGTGGCGACTCCTTGAGCAGTTCCAAACTGAATCTTCTCATCCACTCTTGCCAATCTTCCTTGGTTGACTTGGCATTGGCCGCCCATGCGATCTTGAGATGCTGCTGGTTGACTGCTAGTTTGCGGTTGTCGACACCTCTCTGGACTTCTTCTGAAGCAGAAGTCTTGTATCGCTCATCTGGACTCAGGTCTTGTGGCAGAGGCTCACCCTTCTGCAACTTGCTGACGATCAATGCATAGTTAGTGTGTGGGACTTTGTGAGTCACAAGAATCTTGTTGATGGTAGGGATGAAGTGGATGTAGTCTGGACCAAGCTGGAAGATAAGAGCACATAGAGTATCCAAAGCAGTCTGCTTGAGACCAGTCTCTTGACCGCCCAAGACTCGCGAAAGAGGGTGGATGATCTTTGCAGCAAACTCAGAAATGTTGACGTGTCTTGACAGTTTGCCAATAGTCTCAATTGCGAGCTTGCGAATGTGTGTTGGCTGACCTGGCTTCTCGAACATGCGGACAATGACGGGGATTATCAAGTGCATGTACTCTTCTGCACTCGAGCCAAAGACAAGAAAGGCGTGCAAGACTCGTTCGGATGGCAAGCGTCTAGGCGTGATGTCGTGGTCAAGTACACCAAGCATCAAAGGAAGCACGTTGGCTAGGTATATCTTGAACTCGCCCTCGAGAGACTGTGCAATCGACTCGATCAGCGCAAGCATGGTCGCCTGGTAAGGAGAGTTGTCTGCCCAAAAGTCTTGCACCGTTGCCAGGATTTCTGGCAAATAAGGTCTGATGTGCTGACGGACAATTTCCACCAGCTCGCTAAGGTTATTGAAGTACTTCTCGATGTTGCCTGCCGGTGAAGTACGGATGACGAGAAGAATACCGGGCACCACTAGGCCAAGGAAGTTGACACACTTCAGACGCATGGTTCTGTAGATACTCATGACAGCCTCAACAACAGCAGCGTGATGTTGCGCGAGTGTGGGCTCCTTCAGCAAGTCCAGAAGAGTGTTGATGACGATAGTCGGGTAGTATTCCTCGTTCGAGGGTGTGGTACCTTGCATGATCAGGCCAACATCAGTAACAGTCTGTGAATCTGTGACGAGATGGTTCTCGGAGGATTGCTCCATGACCTGATGTCTGTACGGATCCAGAGCACCAAGGATACCCATCAATCGAATTGTCTCTTTGCGCAGCTCGCCTGGTGGCTCATTTTTGACAACCTGTACCAAGATCGAAAGAAGCTCAGGGTGCTCTACGTAAGGATCGATCACGTAGCCGGAATTACTGGCAAGTTGTCCAAGCGTTCTCAAAGCCGCTCGCCTTTTTCCAGCTGAGCTCAAGTCTTGGAGACTCTCAATGATGACTTTCATCAATTCAGGAACATACTTGACCATTTCATCACCACCGACAGTAGCCAGATCACCTATTGCCTTCAAAGTGGCAGATGCCACATCAGGATTGGGGTCTTGAGCTTTCGGCAAGAGTACTGTGATCATGGGATCAACGTATGGCTTGATCAGTTTTGACGATGAGCCAACAAGATGGCTGATCAGACGTGCGCTCTCCTCTTTGTTTCTGACGTTATTTGAGTATTCGATCTCAGTTAACAACTGGATCAAAACTTTACGCAACGAAGGAAAGATGTAAGCTGGGTTGACAGCGGTCAGACGACCAATAATGGTCATCGCAGCTTCTCGGATACCAAAAATTTCGTCATTCAGTGCAAGGAAGAGCGTGCGAACGTTTTCAGCCTTTGCAAGATGACGGTCAAAGCGGGCGTCTAGTGAGGCCAGCACTGTTCTTCGAATCTCGGCCTCCGGATCAGCAACTCCAACAGTTAGGAGCTTCTCAATCACGTCGCTGACGACTTGTATCGAGTAATGGCTGGTCTGGTACACAATTGGGTCTCTAACAAACAATTGGCAACAAGTCAACGCGGCGGCTTTGCGGATCTCGGCGTCGTCGTCTTCCACGTAACGAATTGCGACGTCTCTAACGAACTCGTTGAGGACATGGCCAGAGAAGTCGAAACTGCCCAAAGTGTAGAGAGCCAGTGCTATCTGCTGCTCCTTGTGTTCGACGTGTTGAGGATCTTGTTGATCTCTGACTTCTCTAGTGAATATCCGGGGCAAGGGAGTGCTGTGGCTAGGGTGGCCTGGTAGAACAAAAGGCTTGCCGCACAGAGTGATGCTCAGCAAGTCAAGGAGTTTTTCCTGAATGATCGGCTTGACAGGGGGTATGTAGTGTGCCATGTCGACAAGTGCTTGTGATAGAGCATCGCTCAGACCACAGGCAAAGATTGGGTCGAGCAAAGCCTCCATGTACTTGCTCAGAGTCTGACCGACAGCAATCGAGATCATACTGATACACTTGAAGATCGGAGCTTCATCAGTGTTCTTGATGCGTGCCTTGACGCTAAGTGCTTCGCGGATATGGAGGAGAATGTTGTCCAGATAAGGAGCAATCTGACTGCCAACAGCATTTGCGACATTTCCGATGGCGATGAAAGACAGATTGCGATCTTTGGGAGATTTGAGAAGGCCTTGAAGATGTGACATGGATCGATGAATGTAGCCATTACAGAACTCCTTCGGGGCATATCTGGCCAAGATTGGAATAATGTAAACGACCTCGCGGCGAATGAGAGGATCGCGGTGTTCACGGTACGAAAGGATGCGCTCGCAAGCTTCCTTGTAGCGAGGACCGTGCATGAACATGCCTCCTTTCTGCAGCAGTTCTTTCAGAGCGAGCAGAGAACCATGGATGGCCTCGACCGTATTGTGTTGGAATCCTTTGTCTATCTCTTCATATGTTCTTGTCAACCATTTCTGGCGTGCCTGGGGGTCTCTGGCCATGAGAATCTCGAAACATTGGCTAATGGTGTTGGCGGCCGACTCGCGGATCATGACCTTGGGGTCGCGTAGGGCGACCCAAATGACCTCGAAAATGTCGGGTATCCATACGTGTAGAAGTGTGGGCGAGCTCTTCGCAAGTTCGTACAAGTTCAAGACGGCCGAGAACCTCCGGTTCTCGTTTCGTTCGATCTGAAGCCACTCGAGGGCGACCTTGACTTCGGCATCAACCAGTTCGGCAGTAAGAGTTCCTCCAGGCGAGACGAGATGACCAAGCGTCTTTGCAGCAACGACCATGGCAGCCGTGTCGTTGCCCGTCATGACCTTGCGTAGGACAGTATGGAAGCGCGTCGTCTTTTGAGCAGCATCGTCGCCCTTGAAGTCGATGAGTTGTGAAAGTGCGTAGAGACCGCCAGTTCGTTCGTGCGTGTCGGCTCCATTCTGAATGAGTTCGGCGATGCGTTTGTTGACCTCGACATAGTAAGGAGCGAATTGAGCGGCCGACAGTTCNNTGTGGCGGATGCAGGTCAGCCGGAGTGCTTCAGTCAGATGAATACGACGAGCCGTCTCACCTCTATGTGCGGCTTCGACCTCGTGTAGTAGGCTCTCGGCGGCGTGTAGTCGTTTCTCATCGCGCCTGGATGGCGTGAGTCAGCTGTATGATGGTATTGTCGAGTGGAGCAGGGTAGGGTACCTTGATTTGAGCTCTTGGACGGTGCGCTCGAGCGCATCGCGGTAGGCTTGAGCCATAGTCTTGCCTTACCGCGCTACTCATGCGCCACTGTTCATCTAGGTCTGGTTTCCTCGCCCTGTTGGTTCAGCAGTAGAATAGCTTGGGGTGTGATGCTGTTGCTTGGTATGCGTTCATTCGGTGCAAGCCCGACTGCTCCTTCCAAAACTGCGGGGGCACGTGGACTTGTCGATCCACCGCAACCTCTGACATCTTTCCCGGCCTCTTATATTCTATCTACGATCGCACATATATCCTCGAATCATGCTGGAATTATGCTTGACCGCCGTACTTGTCTCCTTGCTCGAAACGGTCGTTGTCTCTTACTCCTGACTTCCATCACTTATCGCTCGTCAAATACACAATGTCAACTCAACTCCGGCACTTGTCCATCATGATTATTCTCGGATGCAAAGGGAGCAGCTGCTCATGACCTACCATAAAACTCTTATTCAGAACCACTCGATGGCAACTGAGTTCAACATCACCAAGTAAATGGAGACCGATCATCTCAGAATTCTTGTTCTTGTAATTCTCGACCTTTTATCTTTCTTGGTTGACAAAGCAAAGAAACCATCCTTCCCACCAGTATTGTGGAATGGTATCAGTTCAGAGACGCGCTTGAGAAGAGAAAATTTGGAGGAAGGATAGACGAAATGTGCATATCGGCCACAGCACTCAGCTGGCAGTTCCTTTCTCTCTCCCTCTGCACACTTGGTAACCCTTGTACGTTTCCTCTTGAACGAAACAGGAAACGATTGATACAGTAAAAGAACGAAAGTAAAACATTTGGCGCGGTTGATTCCTCAATGGTATTTCCACTGATGGGCATGCTGGTCAGCATCCTCGGTACTAGTCCAACAACAATGAGAGGCAAAGAGAGAAAACAGAATGGGAAAGAGTCTGGTCAAGGCAGTCACTATCAGAACTCCTTTGCTGATGTGCGCCGACTCAGCTTGTGTGTATGAGACGCTGGGGTATTTAGTTACGTTGCTTCAGCGGCAAGAATGGGGAAAGTCCGGATGTCTTCTTCATGGAAAATGTACGAGATGTGCGCGGAAGATTGGGAATGGTCCCGGGGAGACGACCTCACAGCTCTTCATCCTCGTCGATGGCTTGAGCTGATGAGGGTGGTTGAGTAGGATGAGACTGAGGCATCGATGTGCTTGCAGAGAGAGGCGAAGCTCCAATTGCAGAAGGGTGGGTGGTGGGTGCAGAACTGGGCCCCGTGAGGCTGGGCTTGCCCAAAGGACTGGCGTCTACAGCTCCCAAGCTCGGACGTTGCTTCTTGAGAGGGCTCTCGGCGTATGCGTCCGAGGGCTCGGCAAGCAGTTTTTGGCTGGCCTTGTCACTAGGTGAGGTCGAATTGTCGGTGATGTGTGCCGCTGAAGCACCAATGTGGGGNNGGGATTTGCTTGGAGTAGGGTTGTTGAACTCGCCCGAGTGCTGACGCTTGAGCTGTAGAAAGGTTAGTCATCTAAGATAATATAGTGTAGGAAAGACAAGTACCTTGATGTGGCGCACGCCCTCAGCCATCTCTTCCTGGCGCTGGCGGTCTTCCTCAGTCAAGATCAAGGGATTGCCATTTTCATCTTTAACATCAGCATCGTCCATCTCGTCACGAGCACCTGGCTCTTCGTCTTCTTCGTCGCTGTCCATGGCATCGGCGTTCTTTGAGCCCTTGCGATTGGCACGAGCAGCAGGATCACGGTAGCTTGAGAAGCCTTTAGTGCCTTGATTCTTCAGGGGCCCAAGTTTCGAGAAATCAGTGCTACGCTTTCTCGTCACGGTCGAAGAGCTCTTGCGGCNTGGTGCGATGACGCCCATCTTCTCGAGTTGNNTTCTATACATGTGGATTAGCATTCGAAGAACTCAAGAGAGGGGACAAGGAAGAAACATACTGGGACTGCGGTAATAGAAAGTAAAGGTAGCAAAAGGACTATCCGGGGNGTCAATGCCGGTGACTGTTTGGGTGCTAATGCTCTTCGGATCAAGAGTCTTGGGCTTGTCAAGGCCAGTAGTATGGTCGACATCCTCATCTTCGGCTCCGTCGTTATTGGTGCCTTCATCATCGTGGACGTCGAATTGCGGCGAGTACTCTCCACGCTTAATCTCACCGGAAGCAAGGACGCGGAAGAGGACGATCTTAATCTGACCAGCAGCTTCGCTTTCAGGCATGTCGGAATCTGAATCAGAATCGGACATTTCGTCGTCTTGCATGATGGCCTCGGTCGGGGCGCCATTGTCTTCGCCATAACGCAGGACCGTGTTACGGTCGTAGCGGGGCTTGTCTTGGTCGTCCTCGTCATCACTGTCCTCTCTCTTGATCTCTCTCTTTCTTTCCTCGCGCTGGCGCATCTTCTCAAACTTCTTTCTGCGCTTGTCGATCAGAGCGGCTTTGGCTTCCTTATCGGTGCTCGTCAGATCTAGTCCGTTGAGCCAGCGTTCCAGACCAACTTCGCGGAAGAGGAACTCGCGCTCAGCAAGGCCACCTCCTTCGCTGTCAGGTATGCTGACCCATCTTGAGTTTACCCAAGTCTCTTCACCCTTGCGGAGTAGCGTGGCAACCTCCTCTTTTTGTCGGCCGTCGAAGTAGATGTATGCAGCAATGGTTTCGTTGGGTGATGAGGTGCGGGGCTGATAAGGCGGGATGAGGACTTGGGGTTTGCCAGTCTCGGGATCGATGGGTGGAGGCTCCTTTCTGGGCAGACCTCTAGTCATGCCAGCAGATTGAGGGCCAACATAGACGCCTTTGGGGTTGGGGTTGGTAGGTGTGGGGCGCGGAGTTGAGTAGGGGACCTTCAAGCCCTGTGTGAGGAGAGTGATGGAGACGGCAAAAGTCGACTGCTGCGGCTGGCCGGTGGTTGAGTTTGGCGGGATCGAAGGTGGAGGGACGGGGATGTAGGTGTTGATGCGGCCAAAACGCGACAGACTCTGGACACCATGCTCTGCGAGAGGGCCTTCGGGAGTGTGTATGCTCACGGCGATGCCTTTGAAACACGGCATCGTGGCAGTTTGGTTGGATGTGCAAGCGAATCAGTTATCTGTCGAGCAAAAGAACCATCCAAGGGCAGCGTGTGTGTGCGTGTCGAGTGGGTGCGTGTCTGGATCAAAAGTTGCTCCAAGGGGCGGGGTCGAGTGAAATGATGGTCGCCGTCGTCACAAACTCGCTGCGTCTTGTGACTGTCAGAAGCGACGACGAGGTGTAGATGCGTGGATAGGCACGGTCGGCTGCTGTAAACCGATATGCGCGAAGAAAAACACAGCCTTGTGTGGTTTGTATGCACCGCGATGACGAGCCGTCCAATGATTCTGCTGCTGCTCCGGACAATCAAGCTACCAACTTCGACCACGACTCCGATCCGCCAAGACCTGGAACTGCATCAAGTGGCAGTGACTGCCTTATTTTTGTCCCTCCCTTGATGAATATCTCATTTCATCTATCAAATCTTATTCTTCTTCATCTGACCTGTGTCCAAGTGTTTCTTCCCATATTGCAAGCTATGGTTTCACATTTTCTGCTTGTCCAATCTTATGCATCGCATCCATTTGTCTGTTTCAACCCACGTTCTTACGCGCGACGACGCGTATCGCGTCAAACTCTAAAAGCCGAGGCTTGACGTCGTTCTCTTCGATCTTTCACCTTCTTCACTCGACCATCCATGCCAGACATTATCTTTGGTCTCAGTCTTGTGAGATCTCAGAAATGAATACAGCAAGCAGAGAAAGAGGTTCATCAAGTCATCCATCTCGAAAACTTACGAGTCAGGGACTCAACTGTTGCCTAAGTATGGAGCTGTGCTGCCTGACCTGACCAGGAAACACTTGTTAAAATAATCTTCTTCTCTTGCTTTTGTCAGTTCACATCACTTCTATCATCTACGTCTAAAGAACAATGACCACATTCACGGCTCTCCGCATCTTCTGCCTTTGCCTTCTGTCGTCAACATTGCCGATTCTGGCTCATGCAAAAACAATCACAACAAGCTCAGCAAGAAGATACAATGCTCTACCCCAAATCTTATGTCTGGATTCTGGATACTGTGCACCCAAGACCACGTCAACACCCTCGCTCGACCTGGCGACCCACATCAAACTCGACATCACTGGCGAAGCATCCTTGACACCACAATTAGGAGGAGGGATGTTGGACAGAAATGTTGTGTTTGCTGTCAGGCTTTCCGATCAAGTAGACAATCCTTTCGCAAAGAAGGGCCGAGAACATCCTGTTCAATGGTGAAAACTATCCCTCTACGATCAAAGGACACGGGGTCATCAACCAATAATCTCCATCAAACCTTTAATACTATGTAAGGTTCGATCCATGTCGGGTTACAAGCATCGCTGACGACAAGGCAATAGACAACAAACCTTGTCACCGAGCAAGCTACACTCCCACCGAACAACAAGGACACGGACGCCAGTGCCAGTCAAGCAGCATAACGTAGGACTGAAAGAGAGGAGAAATTTTGATGCTTAGGACATGTGGGAAGGGGCTTCCAAAGAGCATGTGCTAGATCGTAGGGAACATGTGTTCGGCTTCAAAGAGTCGTTCCTCTCCCCGGTTGACAGATTGTGCTGTTAGTAAACTATAGAAATGCACAGTGGTTTGTAGATTCAGACGAGTACACATACAAGCAGTCTCAAATGATAGCTCTCCTTGGACAGAACTTGATCATAGAAGATATTGTGCATTTTCATGGCTACGTTTATAACGCTCTCTGGCGCTCGAAAACAAGCCACTCCTTGTAACTGTGTCTTTCCCCATGATGTCGTTGTTGAACTCCACGCTTCCCATAGAAAAAATCATATAGTTGAAATAAAAAAACCAAAGTCGGGGGTATCTTGTTGAAAATGAATGTCATGAGACCACAGCTGTTGAGTTTGCTGTTTGTTGTCTCTCAGTCAAGCAGTTCAGTGACCTGCAAACCACTTTTAAACCATCTTGCCATCATCCTTGTTGGTTTGATGTTGGTTGGTCTCTTGTTCCGAAATTGAGGCCATGGATGAACGGCTCTGGACATCCCAGTAATCGCCATCAATGACAATCTCGGAGCTGTCGCCGACGAGGAAGAGGTACCAGTATACGAAGGCTACAAAGACGCTGCCGCCGATTATGTTGCCGAGGGCGGCGGGGATCATGCTTTTCCAGATGTAGTAGCCGACGGTGATATCGGGGTGGTGTAGGAAGANTCTGTCATGGTCAGTAGACGCTTATAGGACGGTTTGCACGCGGAAGATGCGAGAAAAATAGGAAAAAGTTGAAAAAAGTTGGAAAAAAAAACTTACAGCCATGGGGATATAAAACATGTTGGCGACGACATGGTCCAGACCCAGCAATACGAAGGCAAACACAGGAGCCCAAATGGCCGTCACTTTGGAAAAGAACTCTCTGGCACAGCAGGCCAGGAAACATGCCAGGCAAACCAGCCAATTTGCACCGATAGCCTTCANAAAGATCTGATGCCACTCTGGAGTCACCGCCTTCGTGGTAGCGATAGTGAGCACTTCTTTGCGATAAGCAGGAGCCGACAAGACACCTCCATACCCAATGATGATGCAAGTGACAAAGAGACAGCCAGCAAGATTGCCAAAGAAGGTGAGTAACCAATGTCTCAACATCAGCAGAACAGAAGTACGGCGGTGAAGGGCAGCCAAGCTCGTGTACATGAAACTTCCAGTGCAGAGGTCTGCTCCAGTCATGACGATGACAACCAAACCGAAGGGNNGGAAGATTGAGGCTCCGAGCATTCTGACGACTCCAGGAGCATTTTCGTTCAGCCAGGCAGATGTATTGATGACAGAGTAACAGGCACCGCTGAAGGAAAGCAGACATCCAGCCATGAAACTGCTGATGATGGTCTTGTCGATACGCATGTGTGCCTTGTAGGCACCTGTTCGAGACGAAATCTCGATTGCTTCCTNTGGTGGTGTTAGAATGACTTGATATCAAGCAGAAGATGATCAAACACTTACTTTGGGTGTGTAAGCATTGTGAACCACCGGCAATGGCTGCTGTTGGCGTGGGATATCCATTGCTACCTCGGGCAGAGTTTGCGAAGGAAATGTAGGATGCATGATGCCGAGCGAAACGACCAGACCTTATATGTGCGCAAGAAACAAGACAACAGGAGATGGAGGACCAGGAGTGGAATATGCTCAAACAAGAGAAGTCGAACCCGGGTTTTTAAATATGCTCAATGCAAATGCTGACGGGTGTAGGGAGGATGAGAGTTTTTGAGTCAATGAGTTGAAAATCCTGATGCCTCCCATTCGTCGATCTTATCAGTATACCGCGGCACGACATTGATATTCCCGTAACAGGCGCCGCGAGGGCGCAGCGATGAACCTTGTGTAACCGCCAGAAAGCCCACCAATAAGTCGAGGCGAAGGGCTGAAACTTATTGTTGCCAAGCACAACGTGCTCGTGGAGGATCTGGATTTTAGGTTTCGTGAGATGAGGGGTAAGTACAGGTACCAATAGCAAAAGGATACATCCAAGGAGCAACGAGGCTGAATCTCACCGCCACATCTGCCAGCTGATCGAGCCAGCTGATGCTTGGGGTGCTTGACCAGGAGGCTCTTTGCTTGGCCATGTTGCTTGTCTTGACTTCCTTCGAGAGATGTTCCTGAGGTGTGCCAGACTGCGTCCATGAATCAGATGTAGTTGAAGGACAACCGAAAAGGAATATGCAGAGTCAAGTCCCTTCCCTCGCAAGGACCTCCAACCCCACAAAAGTCCTCCGATTCCGGGAACTCTGCATTCGAGACTCTACCGGGGCTAGATCGCCAGATCGTCCACACATATCCACGAAGCCATCCCGTGTGCTTGAGTTCTTACAAAGCAATCGAGCGCCGCCAACAGCAGCCCCCTACGCATAGCGGATGTCTTCCCTGGCCTCTCCGTGTACAAAAGTGTGTGACCTTTGGCTGCTGCAACACAAAGGCACTTTTGATCTGTAGAAAGACACAGTGTTGTCCAACATCGAAGGTATGGCCACAAGAAAGCTGATGAGATCCTGTCTCTCAGTGGATGCTACCCTGCTTCTCAAGAATATTGTGCGTCTCCATGGCTATACGTGTTACATGCTTTAGTACATGGAGGGGAAGGCTGAAGCAATCAAGCGCCGCCAACATCCCCCACGGACAGCGGATGTAATTCCTGACGACCCCGCTTACTCTTCCTGCCTACGAGAGCGGTTCGATAAACACCCGTTGGCTTGCATAGAGCTAAGGAAAACACCAAGTGACGCGTTGATCACAGGCAGTGACAGCACATGGCGAGTCCTACCTTTAGCATCACAGGCGAAGGTTGGCGATATCAAGCCACAAAGGTACACACGGCACTTGGTACAAGACACGGTAACCGAGCTGTCAATGGTCATACTCAGGACAATGATATTGGTTCATACTCTCACACGAGAAGAAGACGAAACGTGAGTGCTAAAGCTTGTTCGATCGAGTGAACCAAGTCGAACGTAGAAGGAAGAGTGAAAGATGTGAGAGAAGAAGTAGAACAACCTGAAAAGCCGTGGACAGCATCAATGCCTAGATCCATCGTCTGTCGTGTCCCTAAAGTCATAACGGCCTGGCACAAAATCACCTCCTAATCCTGCATAATGGGGTTGGACCGCGACCCAGATGCCACGCATGAGCGGTTCCTGTTCTTGCTCCTATGAAGACCCGGAAGTTGCCATGGCAGAGCCTAAACTCTGGAAGCTTGTACCTCTTCCTGTTGCTGTCGCACCTCCGAAGCCAGTGGCAGGTACTGAGTGACCAGGCACGGGACTACTAATCGGGCCCAGTGAGTGAGAATGTCTTCCGGTTCCAGGAGTACCGGCATCGGGCTCGAACTTGACTGCAAAGCCACCAGGCGTAGAAGGCTCGTGACGAGCATGCAAGAACCCACCACCGTTTTGGGCATCACCCTCAGTCTCGCAGATGGCTTCAATCTCCTTGATTGTGATTGGGCTATCGAGCATGACTCTAGAGCCTTCAATCTGGCGCAGGAGAGTTTCGACAGAGTGGTAGTTATCAGGTGTAGGTTCCCGAGCTGTCAGTGCCTTGCATGCGTTACATACAGCTATGCGAATTGACAAAGGGCGGTTGGGACCCGAGGGACGGTGACCCAACCCGCCGAAGGGCATGGATGACCAGCCGCTACTTGCATTGGGATTCCACGAAGAGCTGGGTGTAGAGAAGCCAGGCGGAGCACCGAACATCGAAGGTGATGTCCAACTACTGTTAGCACCAAAAATGTCCATGCGTGGTTGATTCTGTGAAAACACAGGCGACCCAAAGCCACGGGGTCCAGCGATGGCGCTAGCCCGACGACTCTCTGGCACTGAGGGCAGTGGCTCATCTGCATCACCAACCAGCGCACTACTACCAAGGCGCTTGCTCAAGTCATCCATATCAGAGTTGTTTGGCCTTATAGATGAGGGTCGCTGAATGGGAGTTGGGCGGGTGATGGGTGCAGGAGAGCTGATGGAGTCGAATGTGTTCTTGTCGGATGAGTGAGTACGAGAGTGCGAGGCAATACTGTGGCGTGTGGGTCCGAAACCAGGTGGAGCAGTGGGCGATCCGACTGGTGGCATCTGTTGCTGGAATCCAGGAGGGCTCTCGAGCGGGTAACCACGACCCTGTGCCATGACTCCAAGCCCAGTCATGCCAGGCGGAGGAGTGGGCATAGAATTGGCAGGTTGCATAGGCTGGAAGGGCCCACTGCCGAATGGTCCGTTAGAGAAACCGGGTAGTGAAGGACGATGATGCATCATGGGTCCATGAGGAGTACCAAAGCCAGGGAAACCAGTCATGCTGGTAGGGAAACCATTGAATCCATTGTTCTGATGTTGAGGGTACATGCTGGGTGGTGGCAGCTGGCTGGCGGGCGAGATGGGTTGGTGCTGCGCGAAAGGCTGCTGATTCTGCGGTTTCTGATAGATGGATCTGGGCATGGACTGGTTGAAAGCGTTTCCTGGAGAGATTGATTTGGTAGGAGCCATGGCGGGAGCCTGTTGCGACTTGGGTGAAGTAGCGTTTTGACTCTGGAAAGAGCTTTGGCGAGGCTGCGCTGGTGTAGAAGGCTTGGGCAAAGCTGGCGTGGCTACAGGGACATGTGGTGAAGACATGACTGATGAAGCCTGCTTGGAAAGTAGACCTGGAGGTACAGCAACCATGCCGGCTTGCGAAGGACGCTTGACCATCTGCGGTGTTTGCTGATTTCTGGCTTCTCGATCGACTCTCGCCTTTGCGTCTCGTTCCTTTCGTTCGCGCTCTGCTTGGGCCTTCTTCTCCTTGACATCCTTCTCGCGCGCCTCTCGTTCTTCGCGTTCTTTCTGGCGGGCTTCTTCCTTTTGCTTCTTCTCGAGCGCCTTTTGCTCGCGGAGTTTACGTTCGGCTTCCTGCTGTCGCTCGCGTTCCTCTTGTTGGCGTTTTAAGCGGTCGGCCTCCTTGCGTTGTCGTTCTTCCTCCTGAGCCTTGCGTTCGGCCTCTTTCTTCCTGCGTTGTTCTTCCCTCCTCTGCTTTGCTTCCTCTTGCTTCGCTTGCTCGATGGCTTTTGCAGCGGCTTCTTCGGCTGCCTTTTCGGCATCCTTTCTAGCCTTCTCCTCGGCCTTTGCTTGCTTCTGAGCCTGTTTCTTGTTCTTCTTCTTCTCAGCGTCCCTAGCCTTCTTGGCTTCACGTTCCTCCTTCTTCTTGTCTTCGTCTTCCAGTTCTTCCAGTAGTTTCTGTTGACGCTCGGCAGCGACCTTTTCTCGGTAGGCGGTCAGCACGCGTTGTTCGAACATGCGGGCGGCGAAGATTTGGAACATGCGACGGCCCTCTTCCATGCGTTGCTCCTCGGTCATGCCGCCCTGTACCTTGTCAGTGACGCACGTGACCACTTCCCAAGAGTTATCCCGTGTTACCGTCTCGTCCTCTTCCTCTTCATCCTGGCTGTCCTCGTCGTACTCCTCTTCGTCATATTCCTCATCATCATACTCTTCGTCGTCGAGCGGCGGCTCATGTCCGTTGGATGTGTAAGTATGCGAGGGTTGTGCCGAGTTGTATTCTGCTTCTTGTTCACGCTGCATCCTGCGCTCGGCCAGTTGTTCCATCATTTCGATAAACTTCTTGCCGTCGTTCTTGAGCAGATCATCGGCTACAGTTAGAATGCCACCTGAAATCACTTCAGCCATTTGGAGATAGCAAACTAGCGGCAGAGCAGGCCTACCTTTGACTGTCAGACTGTTACCAAAGTTGAAGAAGTCGTTGCCTATGCCTCGCGGTATATCGTCCTCGGGTTCGTCCTCCTCGTCGCTGTACAAGTCGTCTTCCTCGTCGCTGTATTCCTCTTCCTCCTCTTCACTCATACCTTGACTATCGGCTTCGTTGCCCTCGTCTTCTTGGTCGTCGTCTTCGTCGTTCATGATTTCTTGGACTGGACTCGTTCGGTGATGGGGTTGTTGATGATGAGTGCTTAGCGGTAACGGTACGGCGGAGGAAGGGTGGAGATGTGGGGGTGGTAAACTGCGCGGAGGTGGTAGCATGCCGTGTCCTGGTTCGCCGCCTTGGTGATGGGCGTACTGTTCAAGTTCGTCGTAGTATGCATCATAAAGCACCTCTAGCTCCTCCTCGATGGCGATGCGCTTACGACCACACACTGTACAGGAGCATGAGTGTTTCTGTTGTTCCTTCATCTTACGCAGGACAGCCTCCTTCTCAATCTTGAGCAAGGATTTGCGCTCTTCCTCACTGAGTGTCAGCCAGAATTGCTTGATGCGCTCGCGCTCTTCTTGGGTCGATGTGTTCCAGATGCGGTCTTGTCTCGAAGAGCGCTGGCCGGATCTCAAGGCCCCAGTCGACATGGGTAAAGAATTCGGTATAGGGGATTGGTGCATAGCAGGGCGCAAATGCTCGGGATAGGGCGAGTGGTGAGAGCTGCCACGCTTCTTCTTCTTGTTGCGCTTTTTGCGCGAAGGTTCCACTGAGTCGTCATTACTTGGATATGAGTGTTGGCCGTTGGGCAGCGGTGGTCGCGCCGAGTAGCTGACGTGCACATCGTCCTCGTCCTCGTCCGACATGGCCTCTGGCAGCGACGGAGGTTGGCCGAGGTGGGAAAGGTTGTCGGAGAAAGCTTCATCGGAGCCATGGTTGAGCTTTGCCTGCTGCTTTGCCCTCCTCTTCTGCTTCTTGCGATTTCCAGTCGTGAGAGGATGAGATTGGTCATGGGTCGGGGATTGACCGTTGGAGACATAGGTCTGCGCCATGTTACGGGCGAGGTGGGAGCCAGAGCTTGCAACAAGCGCTCCGGCAGATGTAGCGACTGTGCAAGGCTTGGTGGGTGAAGGTGCTATGTCAGTGTGTAGTGGAGATCGGCGTTGGCAGTGGGTGGGCTGGCGGGGGTCGGGTCAAGGCCGCGCGCTTGGTGGACAGAAGGCGCGCAAACGGGTCGTGGATTTCAAGGCGAACGCAACGAGTTAACGAGCATCCGGCGATCAAGAGTGAAAGAGTTTTGCGATTATCTGCCAGACGTACGTCTATCTCTAAAGAGCCTATTGCTACCCTATCCACCCGCTGTCAGTCTTGTCCGACACCCTTTCGGCAGTAACCGGCCAAGTAGCCCTTGCTTGACCTGATTGGTCACACTTTCTGGAAGGAGCGGCTGGTTATTAACGCCCACAGTGACATAGACCTTGCTCTGATGCGACATCATGTTAGTATATATCGTGAAAGAGGATTTTTGACTAACAGTCACCAAGATGTTCACATGGATAGGCGGTCGTGTTTTCAGAAACGCTAGAATCTTCTCACATTTAGAGTCATGCCTGCTGCCCGTTGTTCACCTTGCATGCATGCTTCGGAGCGACTGTGAGCGCCGTTACCAACATCTCCATGTGCCAAGGCGGTGAGAGGCAGCCACAGAGCAGCTCCTTCCTCTGTTATGCCCCCACGGACTCGTCTGTTCCGCCTGAATGCCGAGCTTCCCAATGTCGTCTATCTGGAGTCTTCTAGCCCTGTCGTGATTCCTTTTCCAAACACTTCCAACATTTCGCGTTCGCAGACTAGTTCTTGTGTGACATCCTGTCAAAACCTTGTAGTTTTGCGCTTGAGGCGTAATCAAGACTGCATCCTGAAACGCGGAAGCACAGCCCACTCTGTAACTCTTGTCGACTCCCCAATCTCTCAATCTCTCTTTTGCTCATCAACCCGACCCGGTCTGACTGCAATTCTTCCTCCGCCTCACCTACATCCTCGCCTTAGCGTTTTGATCCAGTCCGACCTCCCATCCATCAATCAATTTACGACCCGACGTCCGCGTCATCACCTCTGCATTCCCCGACTTTCCCGTATCTAAGCGTATACTCAGCCAGTCACTCCACTCGACTGTTGTCCGACCGCTTCTCTCGAACCTCGACGTGTCTCTGTCCCAACCGGTTGTCGCACCGTATTCCGTCACCTCCGTCGGACTGTCAAGGAGCAAGTCTGCCAAAATGCCTCAACAAGAAGAAGGTGTTATGAGAAGGTGTGTTTTATACCCGGTCCACAATCGCGAAGACTTGTTCTCGCATTTTCAAGTCTCGTTCCCCTAGTGCTTTCTCCACGGCGATGCGCCATATCAGCTATACGGACATGTCAGCCATTGGACTCGACCAGGCATCGAACCGATGGACTGGTGAAAGACTGTTTCGATATCTTTTTGTACCTCTTTCCGTGAGATGCTGTTCTCGCTGCTTCGCCATGACAGAAAGTAGAGCGGTTTTGATCAGGAATGGCTGGCGCATGCGTGATACCCTCGAATCGTCCCGAGCTGACTGTCATTCTCCACCAGGAAGCTTGTCATCATCGGCGATGGTGCTTGCGGAAAGACTAGTTTGTTGAGTGTGTTCACGCTTGGTTACTTTCCGACTGTATGTAATGACAGATCTTTTTGACCCATCATTTGCTAACTATCTTGTAGNCGATACGTACGAACTTGGTCGGCCAGTGTTGTATGCCGCTTTTCTAACATCCTCTAGGTCCCTACTGTATTCGAAAACTACGTAACCGATTGTCGTGTAGACGGCAAGTCCGTACAACTAGCGCTCTGGGATACCGCTGGACAAGAGGATTATGAACGTCTGCGACCATTGGCTTACTCACAGGCCCACGTCATCTTGATAGGCTTCTCTGTCGATACACCGGACTCTCTCGAAAACGTCAAGCACAAGTGGGCTGACGAAGCTACGGAGCGATGCCCTGGCGTTCCTATCATTCTGGTTGGGCTAAAGAAGGATCTCCGCGATGACCCCGTGGCTCAGGAGGAAATGCGCAAAAGAAGTCAAAAGTTCATCACCACCAAGGCCGGCGAGGACATGAAGGAACTCATTGGAGCACGAAAATATCTGGAATGCAGCAGTTTGACAGGCGACGGCGTCGATGATGTATTCGAGGCTGCAACCCGAGCTGCTCTACTTGCGGTTGACAANAAGGATCGCGCAGGCTGCTGTGTCATCCTTTAGTCGTTTTACGCGAACCCACGGCCTTCATCTTTCCTATTCTACGACCAGCATTGGGATGGCGTTTTCTGTTTGCGGGGCACAAGCGGATTGTCAAGTGGTACCAGAGCCGGACCTCTATTGTTTCTTTTTGTAGCTGTTTGCTTTTCTTTTTCGTTATGGGCGTGGTGTTGAAAAAGCCGGATTGATTCTCTTCCTTTGTTGAAGTCGTGCTGATGTTGTTTTTCGGGGATGTGTTTAGAGGCGGCAATGAGGGTATGTTCTGACCCGAGATCCGCTCATTTTGATACCACCATTTTTCCTTTAGTATATTCTCTGTTGCTACCTTAGATGTCCCATCCGGCCTGCCACTTTAGGTCGGCCCCACAGTCCAGACAATGAATTGCTTGTCATCGCATGTGTTGCGCAGGGCTTCTCCTTCTGCTCAGGATTTGGTTTGAACATTTGATTGATTGTACATGAAATATGGTGATGTAGTTGTCAGATGTTTTGATTCCCCAGAGAATACCGGACCATAAAAGATCAACGCCAGAGTATGATACAAGATAATAGCACAGAACATGACTCGAATGACATCTACCTCGTCCAGCCGTGGTTCCATCCATCGGTGCTCGGGCTGTCGGTCTGAATGCGGGCGTACTCGATGGGTACACCACCCCAGATGTCATTCTTCATCATTGCGATTCTGTACAACCTTCCGACGTTCTTTCCTTGTGCGGCAGCCTCTCCTTCTTTGACAATATTGCCGGTCGAGTCCATGAGACGCAGGGCCTCGCATGCATCTCTCATGCTCTGGTATTGGCGTTCGAGGTCGCGCTCGTGCTGTGTGCGCTGCTGGGCCTTGTAGATCTGCCATGCGCGGTGGATGGTCCAGTGTCTGAGGTAGCGATCGCGTGAGAATCTGAGGGGTCGGGGTGTGATGGGGTGTGAGAGGAAGTAGCGGATCAATTCNNTTTTTGAATGCGGTCAGTACAGTGTCTTTGGTGAGGTGATGGGGCAAGTGAACTCACGAATGCGAGCATCCTTCTTGGGGCCACCGCGATTCCTTTTTTGAGGGACGGGTGTACTGCTGAATGATCTGGATTGTTGGAGAGCGCGGAGGATGGTGCTGGGCTGAGATGTAGCAGAGGAGGCGGTGGTTTGCGGAGCGACGCTGCGAAGGCAGCGGAGGGAGAAGAGGCTGTTCATGCCGCGGAGTATTCGACGTAGGTAGTCGGAATGTCTGGATATATGCAGTTTGATTCAGAGACGGCGTTAGGGAGCTGCAGAGCGTCTTGGGCTGGTATAGTTGGAATTGTTAGAATTGGAAACCGAAGTCTGATGCTTGGCGTCTCTGCGGAGCGGCCCTGAACGGCAGCTGCAGCTCCGCAGTCGATCTTTCCCGCATCGGGCTGCTTTGGGTTCCATACGGGTTTCCATGTCTAATAATATTGCACCATCGAGCTTCCACCGTGGCTGCCTTCTCTGCTTGATCCCTTGACACATTGCATCAACCGTCAAACACTCGACCCATCTTTGCAATGAGCCACGATCAAGCTGTCAAGGAGGCTTCGGCCAAGCACACCACTCCCGCCGAGTTGGTGGGCAAGTTCCAGTATGGTACTGCCGGTGTAAGATGATGCTGAGCCGCCGTGATGCTGTATACACAATGCTGACCATACTGCCAGTTCCGTATGAAGGCGTATGTCCCTCTCCTGTCTTTTCCTTCGTATCTTCACTCACCATCTTCAGCNAAGATCCTCGACTCGGTCGTCTACCGTGTTGGACTCCTGGCTTCGTTGCGCTCGCGCAAGCTCAATGGCCAGACCATTGGTGTCATGATCACCGCCAGTCACAACCCTCCTGAGGACAATGGCGTCAAGCTTGTCGATCCCATGGTACACTCTTCCTCAATCACTCCATCGTTGGGACCATGTCTGACTGCTCATCTANNGGGTGAGATGCTCGAGGCTTCATGGGAAAAGTACGCTACCCAACTCGCCAACGCCGAGTCCGATGACCACCTCGTCCAAGTCTACAACGAACTCGTCAAGACACTCAAGGTCAACCTCGATGCCCCCGCCAGAGTCATCTTCGCCCGCGACACCCGCGCTTCGGGTTCCCGTCTGGTCGAATGCCTCAACGACGCCCTGACTGCCACCAAGGCTGAGGTCACCGACTATCGAATCCTCACCACTCCCCAACTCCACTACCTCGTTCGTTGCGTCAACACAAAGGGTACTCAGGACGAGTACGGTGAGGTCAGCGAGAAGGGCTATTACGAGAAGTTGGCTGCTGCTTTCAAGCAAGCCATGGAACACACAAAGGCCCAGGGCCACTTGACTGTTGATTGCGCGAACGGTGTTGGAGGTCCCAAGCTGCGCGAATTGCTCAAGTATCTACCATCTCTTGCTGATGGTGGTCTCGATGTAAAGGTCGTCAACGACGACGTCCACAAGCCCGAGAGCCTGAACCACCAGGTGAGTGCTTCTGAGCCTAGTACTATCCAACAGCACTAATCAAGACAGTGTGGTGCCGACTTTGTCAAGACCAACCAGCGCGCTCCTCCTTCATCCAAGGCTGGCCCTGGAGATCGCTGTTGCTCGCTGGATGGTGATGCTGACCGCATTGTCTTCTACTTCCAAGACGAGAAGAACGTCTTTAGACTTCTGGACGGCGACCGTATCGCTACTCTTGCCGCCTCTTTTATCGCCGAGCTTGCTCGCCAATCTGGCCTGATGGACAAGCTTACTGTCGGCGTCGTACAGACCGCATATGCTAACGGTGCCTCGACAACATATATCCAGAAGAACCTGGGTCTACAAATAGTCTGCACCCCTACCGGTGTTAAGCACTTGCACCACGCTGCCACTCGTTTCGATGTCGGTGTCTACTTCGAGGCCAATGGACACGGCACCGTCGTCTTTTCTCCCTCTGCCCTCAAGGCCATCCACACTCACCAGCCTCAATCACCTGCTCAGGCTGATGCTCTCACCACGCTCATGGCTTTGACCGATCTCATCAACCAGACTGTTGGTGATGCGCTATCTGACCTTTTGCTTGTTGAAGTCATCCTCGCACACAAGGGTTTCAGCTGCGCCGAGTGGCTGCAGACCTACACCGACCTGCCCAACCGTCTCGTCCGTGTCGAAGTCGCCGACCGTAACCTTTTCACCACTGTCGAAGGCACTGCCGAGCGTCAACTCGCAACACCGGCTGGCGCACAGAAGGATGTTGAGAAGGTTGTCGCCAAGTACAAGGATGGTAGAAGTTTTGCTCGTGCTTCTGGTACTGAAGACGCTGTCCGTGTCTACGCCGAAGCAAGCACACGTGCTGAAGCAGAAGATCTCGCCGCTGCTGTTGCTCAGATTGTGAGAAAGTACGGTGCCAAATAAGTGGTCGCTCTTCTCTGAGACTGAGCAAGGAATTAATGAAAAAGGGCGAAAAATGCATGCATTGGATAAGGGGTATCTCTGGCGTTGTTTGATTGTCTTGTTTTTCTCTAGAGCACTTTTTATCTCTATATGACTCAAATAGAGAATGACATATCATCTTCGTATGCTGTGGTTACTCATATGGATGGGTTTCGCGAGACACAACACACTCGGATAATATCCAGTCTATAGTGAGCGCATCTGCTTGACTTGAGATTCACATGAGCAATACCAAACTTCGAGGCAACCACCCACAACGTAGGTAGCTTGTGTTTATTCTCGAGAAACATTCAGCGCTCATTGTGTTTAGAATACACAATACAAGTAGCTCAGGACTCATGGGTATCGGATATGGGCGAGAATTATGGGCAGGAATATAGAATCAGGGTGCCACCTTCGGCGTGATTAGTAAGCCACGCAGCTATTCTCACCGACTGCTTCCAATCACGCACTTTCCGTGACTCGTTTGCACCAGAGCACACAATGTCGAGTACTCTGCTAGACCAAGCATGATATATAGCATGACGCATGTGAGTCTTCCCAGATTCTGATTTGCGTGCAATGCGAAGACCGTTTTGTCCCACGATGCACACGAAGACGAAGGATCGCAACGACGCCGCCGGACGATAGAAAAGCCCGAAGGCTTTTGATTTTGGCTGCAGCCTATGGAACTTTGTAAGTACCGAGCACAGCAGGTTTATAAAACGACGAGGTCTCTCCCCTTGAGAATTGAGGTATAGTACTTTTCTCTCTTCTGGATACCTTTTAAGCACTTCCTCTCTGCACACACGCATAAACCACGACCTTTTGCTCATGAACGCTTTGAGGACGACAAACAATGGCGACATCAACATCACCCAATGTCCTCATCTCAGGCTTTGGCATCGCAAGCAGTGTTTTTGCATCCACACTCCTTCGCGCTTATCCTCACGCCACCATCACGATAATCGAACGCGACCCTTCCATGCGACTCACCGGCGCCAGCGTCGACATCCGCAGCTCCGCCGTCGACATTATAAAATGGATGAATCTAGAACAGGACATTCGCGCCAAAACCACAAAAGAAGAAGGCGTGGAGTTTGTTGACGAGTCTGGAAAGTCGTTTGCTACTCTGCTGGCCACGGGGAACGATCAAGTGCAAACCATGACTTCCGAGTACGAGATTTTCAGGGGTGATTTGGCGAGGATCTTCTACAAGGAGATTGAGGGCAGAGTGGAGGTGGTGTTTGATGAGAGTGTGCAGAGTTATGAGCAACTCGAGGATAAAGTGGTTGTTCACTTTGCCAATGGCAAGGCTTCGCAGTCGTATGATTTGCTGGTTGCCGCTGATGGATTGGGGTCGAGGATTCGAGGTATGATGTTGGGCACTTCACCTCAACAACACATTCACGACGAAGGCGTTTATGCCTCCTTCTTCGTCATTGANAAAGACTTGCTCAATGGCTCCAAACTGGCAAAATGGTACAACACCACTGGCGGCCGCGCCATCTTCCTTCGTCCAGATCCAGACCCCAAAGGCCGCACCAGAGGCCACTTTATGAACTCGGCATGGCCCTCTGACGTCTCCGCCCGCAACAAAATCAACACTGCACTAAAACAAGGCAGAGAGAGTTACACCAAACTCGTCGAAGAAACTTTTGCAGACGTCGGCTTCCACCAAACGAAAGAAATTCTCGCAGCCATGCGCTCAACACCAGATTTCTACTGCTCGAAATTCGCTCAGGTGCGCAGCCCTCGCATACAAGATGGCCGTATAGTCCTCCTCGGTGACGCCGGCTACGCAACNCCCGGCATAGGCACCTCTCTCGCCATCATGGGCGCCCACATCCTCGCCGGCGAATTACTTACCCACAAGCTCGACATTGCTGCCGCGAGCAAAGCATATGAGAACCTCATGTTGCCATTTGCGCATGCCCAACAGAGCAGCATTGGCGACTATGCGATGCAAGTGTTGAATCCGCAGAGTGCTTTGGGGTTGTGGATTAGAAACACGGTCTTGTGGGCTGTTACTGCGGTGGGGATTGACAAGGTTGCTGTGTGGATTGCTGGCAAGTTGGGAGTGGCAGAGCCGAAAATCAAGATGCCTGTTTATGCTTGGCCGGAGGTGAAGGCTTGAGGGGGTAAATATGGATGCAAGAAAAGAGGTGGTCTTATGATGAGATGATCATGAGATGAGTAGTAATGAAAAAATGGCAACTAGATGGAAATGTATGTTTAATGAATTAATATGGATATTTCCACGATTTTCCAAGCTGTCTACTTTTTAATGTTTCTTCTTTGTGTCATCAAGCATCAAGAGTTGGAGGCACTTCTATCTCGTCTTCTCCTTTGTCAGCAAGCTTATCAGAGAAGTCCCAGTAAACTTGTCAACATGGAAGCAATGATGTAGGAAGTCATCATACTATCGAGATCTGTAGAGTGACCAGAGAGAGAGAGAGCACTGTTTCTACGCTCTGATGGTCAAGTGTGGGTAACTCGAGGACAGATACCAGAGTGAAAAAGGGCCAGAAGCTGCTTCTTTTCCATAGCGTGAGTGAAAAGGTAGCTTCAAAGAACTCGTCTCCAACAAGTGCTTGTCCTCTATACAACATCAAAAAAACCCCCAGCAATACCCAAGAAACATGGGGAAGAAAACTATGTACAACAAAACAACCAGATTGTATAAACAAACATTTCGCCATGATGAAGAAATGGAACAAGAAATAAGAAGGGTGCAAAGAAAAGAGACAAAACTTTCTCTCAAACCTCTGGCACCATGATTTCATAAAACAGCAGGTAGACTTCCCGCTGCATGCCCAAAACATCGCTAGTCTTGGACTCTTTGATCTTGTCATCACTAATCCTCCACCATCTATTATGTTGATTTCTCTGTTTGCGTTTCAATCTGCTCAAATCAAGGCTCTTGCCTGCTTTGGAGGATGTGCGTGNTGGTTTGTTGGCATGTGGGCTCAGCAGTCGGTTTTGAGGGACTGTGAGTTTGTTGCGGCAAGGAAGTTTCGGCACTGCTACTACTGCTGACTGTGCTCTTCTCGTCATTGGCAGGGTCTGCGGTCTTTGAACTTTGACGGTGGCGGAGGGAGAAGCGGTTTTTGATCGATGAGGAGCGGGAAGATGTGCTGTTGCCACTGCTGGAGGGGGAGTGTGTGAGGCCTGGAGTGGGCTCGAGCATTGGACTGGGCATGCCGCTTGCTCNNGAGGTGTTCCTTGAGCAGAGTACATTCCTTGTGTGCCCATGCTCAGTTTTGCACTAAACGGTTCGGCGAGGTATTGTCGTCGGAAACTCTCATAGTGACCGCTATTATGGCCTCCCTTGTGCGTGACCACACCCAGTAGACGGTAAGAATGTTGATCTAACAGGCCACCCAAAGGTAGTGTCTCCGGGAAACTGACTTTGGCCATATTCTTGCTGCTGCTGGAATTAGGATCCCAGACACTTCGCGACAAATGGATGGCGAGAACTTTAGGAAAGCTGCTGATGCGCATGTGGCGTGAGATGCGTCGTTTCGGGGCTAGAGATGGGTCAGGCAATCTGATGTTCTTGGGCAGAGCCTCCGGATCCGTAGCGAGCGCCTTTTCGATGGCAGAGAGTTCGTGAGCAAGGAGATTGCGCGTTTCTTCATCAGTGGCGCGTGATAATTCTTTGTTTTTGACTTGAGTGGCATGTTCCAGACGGCACCTGTCGCATTTGTAGTCGTCAATGTGTTCGACTTTCAGCATTCCATCAAAACATGCATTCAGCGTGGTTGAAGAATGATGGGGGACGTTGAGGGTGAGAGTGACGAAACTGGATACTGAAGGTTTGGGCTTGAAATGGCAGGTCATGCATTCAATCTGGGCCTCGATCTTTCCTTCGAGAGGGAAACCTGGATCGTCTTGCAAGTCATCGTCTTCAGCGTGTGGTGGCTGCTGGACGCTCTGACGGATTTGCTCAATCTCTGACTTTGCTTGAAGACCACGAGCAGACTCTATGGGTCGAAGCGCGTCTGGTCGTCGCTTGTGTGCATCCTCTTTCGCGTCGTCTTCAGGCTCGGGCATCTTGAGAGTAGTGGTACTGGGGCTCTTTAGCGATTTGGCCTTTCTCCTGGCATTTCTTCCGGCATTGTATTCTTCGCTCAGCCTCTCGGCCACGATTTGCAGAAATTCTTGAGCGTCTTGTTGCTGTCGACTGATGCGTGTTCTGAAGGCGGTTTCTATGACACCGACGAACGAACGGGCCGAAATGGTCTTCTTGTAGATGGGTCGCTCGTTAAGCGCATCCAGAATGTCCTTGAGTCCGGCCGTGACAAGACCCTGCTGTAAACCCAAGACCTTCCAGCTCGGCTCCTTTGTCTCGTTCATCTTGACGATATCCTTGCTCTCATTGGGCGAGATTTCGTCTTCCAATTGCTCGACGATCGAGTATATTTCTTTCCCGTCCAGCTTTCGTCGGTGTAGTTCTCGGATCAGGTAGATGCGCAGTTCGGGGAGACCGGCCATGGTCTGTAAGACGGAATTGATGAAGCAGTCATTGGCCGGGTTGACGAGGCCAACGACACCTCTCTTGCGGGTGGACCGCGAGGATTGCGAGGCCTCATCGTCGAGCATGAAGGTGGGACCGAAAACATAGACGAGGGTGATGGCTGCCAGCGATGCGCCGGCGGCGTAGGTCGCAATGGTGAGGGGCTTGTCGGGCATGTTGGGATTCTTCATGCAATGTGTATGCCTGAATGCTGATGGTGATGCTGTGTGGGGGAAGGAATGGACGCTCTGAGAGTAGGGCTTGGTGGATGGTCGAGTCAGGTTCGGTTCATATCATGTCATGCTGGTGCGTGAAGAAGTCTAGCGCCATGGTCTAGGCAAGAGGGAGAGGGAGCAAGGAAAGTCGCTTCCATCAGGGCCAAGTGCTCCGGGCGGATAAAAAGGCAGACCGAGAGACGCCTTGGACCCGCGTTTTGGCACATCGTGTGGGGAGAAGAGGGTGCTTGGTGCATGTCCCGCTGCTCGTGCGTGCGTTTGCCAGTGCGTTTCGCGTGCGTCCCATGCCCTGCTGTCATTGCCGTCCCTCGCCGGCCACCGGCTACTTGTCCTTCCGCTCTCTATCTAGCGCCTCTTCCATCACGCTCAACAACTCCTTTGACATGTTCATCGGAACTGGATTGTCATCTGTCTAATAGTAAGCTATGCAGTCTTGACACAGATCCACCTGGTACGCGCTCTACTCCCAGATCAGCACCTCTTTCACAATCAGCCATCGTGATGACCAAGTAAAAATATGTTTCAAGACGAGACGGAGATTCACTATGAATGACAACTGCTTCCAATCCTGATGTTGGCTTCTTGCTCGCAACCACTTTTATTGATCTTCTGTCAAGTCTTTGGCTGACTATGTCTGAGAGCAGCAACGAGGCATATCAGGACGACCCTCATGTTTGTAGCAAACCGCCTCGACTCCCATAGCTCATTAAACAATACAACCTTATCATGCCCTAAACTCTTCCAACTTCTTCCTTTGTCTCCCCTGCTCATCAAAATTGCTGTCCTCCAACCATCCCTCAAAAGCCTTCCTTCTGCCCTCCCACTCAGTATCCAACATGGAAAACCAAGTCGTATCTCTGTTCCTTCCATGCTTGTCAATCAACGCCTGTCTAAAAGTTCCTTCCTCCACAAACCCATATCTGGCCGCTGCCCTCCTGCTCGGTGCATTCAAGCTGTGGCACTTCCACTCGTATCTGCGGTACCCCATGTCGAACGCATACTTGGCCATCAAATACATGGCTTCAGTCGCTGCCACAGACTTTTGCAGTGCGGATGAGAACATCAAGTGTCCAACCTCGATGACGCGGTTTTTGGGCTCGATGCGGAGGTACGAGCACCAGCCCACTGCTTGCTTTTTGTTGCCGGCGTGCTTGAGGATGGTGTAGAAGGTTGGGTCTGTGGAGGCTGCTTTGTTGACCATATCGTCGTGGAGAGCTGAGATGGTGGGAGGACAGGGGTCGTAGGGCATGTAGTCCCAAAGTCGTTCATTGGCGGTACCTCCGATGAGCGGGAAAAGCTCTCCGGCGTATTTTGGTGATAGAGGTTCCAGAGTAACGTATTTGCCTTGCATTGTAATCTCCTTTGAAGGCCATGGTGCTGGACTCGTGTTGGCGACTATCTCGCCCAGAGGGCGTTCGGGTGTGTTGCTCATGCTTTGCTTTGAATTGAATCGATCTGTAACGAATAGGCAAGCAAGTATAGGAACCTTCTCTGGTCTGCTGATTTTTTATATACGTGTTCAATTGTTCTTGTGAGTCAGATGTTCTGATACGAAGCACGCTCCTTCCCTTTTGATTACCCTAATTGCGCCATTGGCCAACTTGGGCATGTACACGCGAACAGCCTAAGCTTGTCGTAGCGCTTTGTGCCCCTATCGATTTTTTTGGTCCAGAGAACAGGTAACAAAACATATTGCGATGTAGCCATGGCTGAAGAAGAAAGAAACTCGTCGTGCTGGCATGGAGTTGTCTTTAAGCTTTCCACATTCGTTCTCTTGGAAGCTCCGCCAGCATGAAGGAAATCAAATCATAACATACAGTTTTTTTGATCATTCATTTGCAGTTCGACAAAGCATACTCGATCATGCCACCACAGCTCTACAGACGACTCTGTGTCTGTCCAGAAGTCTTGCTGTTTACAATGGTATTGGCCGCCTCAGCATAATCACAAACATCAGAAGAATCTTTAGCGATCTTCCTCCACCTGATCTTGCCTTCACCGTCGATTGCGAACCNCCCACTATTCTGCCATCTGTATGCTCCTATACCCGTAGGTCTCATATCAATGCCATCCGACTCTTTCAGCGACTTCAAGGCTCCCATGATATCGCCATTGACCATGCCGGTCCAACCTAGTGACCCAACACCCCATGCTGCATAGCTCTTGCGTTCGGGATCTGTGACGAGGGTATAGCGATTCGAGTCTGGGAATGCTTTGTTGCCACTACAATACAGTGAGTCCACAAGCTCCCGGAAAGCTATTCATCACCACAGCGTCTCCAGAAGCACTTACCCAACATCTTCAAACCATTGGTTTGTGGTGGCTTGGTCGCTGTGTTGTACAATTACCACATGCAGCTTCTCGTGCTTGCGACTCTCGGCTCCTAGCAATTGTATCTCTTTCTCTGCGAATGGACAGCCGCAGTGCCGCACGAAGGCCACGAGGGTAGGTGTGCCATTACCGCGTCTCAGGTCTACCGAGCCAACTGGTGCTGGAGCCGCATCGCCAATGTTCGGCAGTGAAGCGACCGATGGCGACGCCTGTGGGAGGATCGATTTGATGGCGGGGATGTACGAGGCTAGGTAGCTTGCCATGATTGCAATGTCTTGTGCCTTTCTGTGGGTCGCGTTTCCTTGCAGCAAGATGATGTCGCGATGCAACAATCGTTCTCTTTGTTTGCTTTGTCTCTCGAAGTGGATTTGACGAGAAGATGTTTGCTTCTTGGATGGTGACGAAGGGACCGAGAGTGATCGTGACCCCACCTTTGATTTGAAATGCTGTCAGTTAAGGTTGTTTACCGACGTCATGTCTGCTGTCTTTCATGTGATGCTACTCATGACTTCGACTGCCGACAATCGTGCGCGCGAGCGATATTCAAACAAGGCTCTCGAGGGTTTCGAGGCTGGCGTTGGGACACGACTGTGGAGGGAGACATGAAGCTGGAGGGTGGATGTGGAAGATGCGCGAAGACCTCGTCAGAGGGGCTTAGGGGCATGAGAGCTCTCAAGCGATCAATTAAGGCTTGCACATGCATCCAAGCAATGCGGTCGGGTCGCAAGCGGATGCAGAGGAAAGAGAGAAAGGGATGATGTGCAAGGTGGACAAATCAACCCTTGTCAGCGTCTGTGTCACCATGTGCCGGCGCTTACCGTCTTGCATATCAACAAGCCAAGAAAGCCTTATCTGAAGGCACACGAAATGTGATACGTTCTTCTTCAGCCTCTGGTTGAAGAAACCAGAGTCGAGACCGATGAAAAAGTAGATTGTTCGCGTCAGCCTGTGGGAGTGCAAGACAGGCGACACCGTGCCGGGAGATGTGGAGGCATGCCCCAGAGATCTCCTAGCGGGTTCCAAAGACTGGGTTCAACATAAAAAGTCTTAGTGGTCAAACATAAGAAGAACAGATACTACAGTTGATCTAAGCCAATCGGCAAGAAAACTTGAGGAGGGAAAGAAAGAGGGCGAGATACCGAAGGCTTATATAGCCAGCCTTGGTGGATGCGAGTCATGAGACCGTAGGCAGCAGCGTGGGCACCAGGCAGCAGTGGCCAGTGAAGCAGAATGAGCAGGTGATTGATACCTGACCAATGGAAGATGGAAGATAAGAGAAGTTGCTGCTGCTGCTGCTTCACCGACAGCAAAGCGCTTGCAAAAGAATTCTGATCCAAACGACCGCGATATCTGCGCAAGCTTATGCGAGGCGACGACGCTTTCTGCAGTACCGACCGACCTACCAGAGATCATGCATCCAATACTCCAAACAGGCTATAACGCTTGCATGCAGTCAATGCAAACGCGAGACACCTTAGCAAATCATCAATCTGCTCAAACACATCAGAGTTTGGGCTCAGAACATGGCGAGACGGGTGTTTCAGGCAGCAGCCCAACATGACACAAGGCGCTGTTCGAGAACAGCAAGTCACTTGACCAAAGGGAAAGAGGTCAGACTCAAGCAGGCGGACTTGATAAAAATCATGTGGAAGCGCAGCAATGATGATGATGCAGTGGGAATCTTGATTCCGGCAACAAGCAAGCAAGCAAGCAACACTGCGCGGACCAAGACTTTGTGGCGACAAGCCCCTGACGGCTGCTTTAGCGGAGGCGACGGCAGAGCGCCATTCGCTCTCCTTTTTTGTCGAAATGCTGAAGAAACAAATCGCATCAAGCGCTGTTAAAGCGAGTTGTTGTCGCTGATGATAAATATGGCGTCGTTGTATACAAGTAGTGGTGTGGATGGCATGATTGGTGTCTCATTCACATGCTGGCCGACAAGAAGCGTGCGGCAAAGCGTGCCGAGGGAGGTGAGTCATAGTTGTTGGCGTCTGTCGCAAACCAAGAAGATAGAAAGAGTGTTGATCGACTGCTGATTAGAAAGAAAGCACGCTGTCGACATTGCAGTCGTGTGTCGACAAGGTGTTGTCGCTGTTGACAGGAAAGCACGACAGCCAGGTTGGTGGAAATGGATGGAAGGATCTGGTCGAAGAGTTTGGAGTGGATCAAAAGATTTGCAGGCGCGAGGCAGTCAAGGTTTTAGCGTTGAGCCAAAGCAAGGCTTGGCGCTTTGTGGCTGTGGGTATAAATACCTCGGGCATCCCCTTCATTTTCGCAAATTTCCCGCGCCTTTACGCTTTGCCCGACCCTCTACGCAACGGCGCCCCTCCACACCGTCCCCGCAACACATCGCAACTCAGCTGCACTAAATCAACAATCGCTGCGTCCATTACGCGTTATTGTCCAATTTTCTGCTGCGGTTTTCTTTGTCCTTCGGCGGACATTGTTGTGAAAGGGAAATCCATTTGCGGTCGCTCTCACTTCCGGATTGGGAAAGCGCCAAGACCAAGAAACACTCACAACAATCGAGTTCACTTGCTGGCCGTCGCCTTCTCTCTCTACCACAGCGCATCCTCCGGGCAGCATCTGTAGGGGACACATTTGGTTGTTTCTCTCCCGCTAACGGTACGAGACTATCCATCTCACTTCCGAGCGCATTCGACGCCGCCGCTTCTTTCCTTTTCTCACTCGTCGCATCGTCGCAACCGGTCCACCTTCACCCAAGGTCGTCACTGGCTGCGCATCCATCATCTTTCCTCTCGTCTCACCTCCTGTCGCATAACTACTCAAGATAATCTTCCAAGAATTCCAATCCTGACATCAGTTCGCTTCAGACTGCCTTACCACACTCCGTCGTCGTATCCACAGCTCACCGCAATCATGGAGACTGTCATCACGCACCCCTCGACCGCCGCTCAGGCCAAGAACTTCACCGCACCCGGCTCTTTGTCCTTCCCAGGTGGCGCTGGTGACCTCACCCCACCTTCATCTGAGAAAGATGGACAGCAGACCTCGCAGACAAACGGCGCATACGGGTACGGCAACACTTCTCAGCCTCAGGGCCAGCAGCAGCCTGCTCAGCAGGGAGCCGCCGCCCAACAGGGCGCTGGGGTGACTCCCGCGACTCCTGCTGCTACGCCCGGCGCTGGTCAGGGTGTCAGTGGCATTGTGCCTACATTGCAGTGAGTATCTTCGTGTTGCAACGTTTTGTTGTTGGCATGTTGTTGACGTTTCGCGCTCTCAAAGNNGAACATTGTCGCCACGGTGAACCTTGACTGCAGACTCGATCTGAAGACGATTGCCCTCCACGCTCGTAATGCAGAGTACAACCCCAAGCGTTTCGCCGCTGTCATCATGCGTATCCGCGAGCCCAAGACCACCGCTCTGATCTTCGCCTCTGGCAAGATGGTCGTCACTGGTGCCAAGTCTGAAGACGACTCGAAGCTGGCTTCCCGCAAGTACGCTCGTATCATTCAGAAACTCGGCTTCAACGCCAAGTTCACCGACTTCAAGATCCAAAACATTGTCGGTTCATGCGACATCAAGTTCCCTATCCGTCTGGAAGGTCTTGCCGCCCGCCATCACATGTTCAGCTCCTACGAGCCTGAGCTGTTCCCTGGTCTCATCTACAGAATGATGAAGCCCAAGATCGTGCGTGCCTTGCCTCCATTGTGACCATGTCCTCTTCCTCTTTACTAACATCTCTCANNGGTGCTTCTCATCTTCGTTTCTGGCAAGATCGTCCTCACCGGCGCCAAGGTCCGCGAAGAGATTTACCAAGCATTCGAGATGATCTACCCTGTCTTGTCCGACTTCCGCAAGGCCTAAGTTGATTTCAAATCATTGCACCAAAGCCCGAAGCTAAAATCGGAGCAACGACCAACCCCGCTAAAACAACCACAACTCCCCTGGCACTTGTAACAATAGACTCCATCCTCGGATGTATTATCACCACTATGAGGTCTTGCCAACCTCAATGGATGTGTCTCCAGCATCAGAACCGCTTTTCGACACATCCTTCTCTTCCCTTTTTGCAATTGCATGGCGCGGAGTTCCGGTTTCTTTCAAAGCTTTGAGCATGGAGGCTTTTCTTTCTCGGATGGCGATTCTCAAAATCTCTTTTCGTTCGGTACCTCAAGGGAGGGTGTTGATCGCTTTCACATGCTCTTTGGTCTTCTCTTTCTTTTCAATACCACACGACCAAAGCACGGAAGCATCAACCCCTTTTGATTGACGTTGTTACACCTTTTCTCTCTTACTCTCATTTGGAAGGCCGTTCCTTTGATATGGCTACAAGAAACAGCACGAAAAAAAAACATGATTGAGAAGGTTGAACAGACAGGCGGACGGAAGATTGGAGCGAAGATGTGATGATCGAAGGCATGGGCGTATTGCTCATGTGCTGAGGAATGCAAAGGAAATGATGAAGCCACCTTGCCGCGGCGCACCACTCACCTAATTGCCATTACTCGTCAAGCATAGACAATATGGCAGAGGTACTTAGCTCCCTCTAATGTCATCACAAAAACATCACAAAACTCATTCAGTGCTCTTGAGTCTTCGCTTCTTGTAACAGTCCTGTTTCATCACTGTATCAAACAGCCTCTCAGACCAAATCCCAGTGCTCAAGTTTCCTTTGCAATACCATTGATTACTAGTCGTTGCATTCATCCTGTGATCCTCCCTTTGTTTTCCATCTTGTTCCCCTTCATCCATCCGCCGCACGTAGAAGGGACTGGGATGAACGCGTGTCTGGCCAGTCATACGAACATTTGTCGACCCTGGCAGATGTGAAAATATACATCTTAGCAACCTCATCGGGTGAAGGCTCTGACTCAATAGTCCAGAATCCATTCGGCCGGCACGCTGATATGGTTAGCAGTGGTGCAATCCAACTAGCTGTTCCGACTCCTTGTGCTTTCCCCTTCACAGCACATGGGGTGGGAATCAATGTTGAAGATCAAGACAAATGCTTTTGCTACCGAGGTTCGATTCCCACTGTCTACAATCTAGCTTTATTCTCGCTCTTTTTCAACTCGTCTTCTAGCACCATGCCCTTGACACCACCTCGCCAATCTTTGGTCCACACTTGATCTTCGAGATCGCGTTCTGGCCATGCCCATTTATCTTTGAACTCTGCTGGTGGGTTGCCCATCAAGCAATCTATGATCCTATCGCCAATGACGGGCAGGAACTTGTAGGCGTGGCCACTGCCGCCGGTGGCTACGAAGAGGTTCTTATATTGAGGGTGGTAGGAGAGCAG